TAGGTAAAGCACTTGCCATCATAAAATACTTTAAAAAAATAAAATAAGTAAAACCCAATTATCAATAACTGACTGCAGCTATTCTTCATTGGATCCTTTTTGAAACTCATGGCCAGACAAAGAGTAATCTAAGAGTTGGACTCTTTAACAGGGATCTAACTTTAGCCTCATTAGTTCGAAGGAGTTTTCCATTAGTCCATAATAATTAAGAAATAATTGTTGCAAGCTATACTTTATTGTAGTTTTAACATGGGTAGGCATTATATACGTGATTATTTTTGCCCGAGCAATAGCATACAATCAGTTCTGTTAACCAAGCAGTTTTTGATTTATATTAGACCCTGTTTCAGACTTTGGGGATTTAATCACTAAAAAAGTTAAAGATAACCAGACTATTTTAGATTTAACTGGTAATCTGTTTTCTTTTCCTGGTAGCAAAAAAGAGCTGATTCCTGTAAGTCTGTATATTGGCTGCTTCTGGTTCTTATCCATTTAAGGAACCAATGATTCCGGAGAGTGCAGTAACCTTGCCTCAGTCCATTATTGTCACGATATCAGTGGTTTCCTTTTTTTCTGACTAAAGTCATTGGAAGTAATCTTACATAAAACAAATTTTGATATAACCAGTCAAAAATGCTATCATAAATAATCTGGGAACAAAAAATTTTACTTTTTCAATTGTAAATTTTGCTATTTTTCTTTCAAGTATAAAACTAAAGTAAAAAGTAAAAAATCTATTTTATTGAAGTATTACGTGCCATTTGAGTTTGAAATTAATTTAAATTATAAAGTATTGAAATGAATTTTTATTATAAAGAATCAGTATTTATATCATTTCTTTGAGTTCTTAATTTTTTCTTTCTAAATTTTTTTATTAAATCTAAAGATTTCAAACTTGATACATGTAAAATCATATTGCATCTTATTTGTATTTTTTCATTTCAGCTTCTTTTTCTTGTACCACTGAAACTTCACAGAATAATTGCGTACATTTTGAAGTTGTGTACCTGCTTATATGAAATTGTTTGAGGAATTTCCCCCCATTTTTCCCTTAATTCTGATCTTGATGATTGTTTTCCAAAATTTTCAAAGATTGTACTGATTTTGTGTAATCAACTCCTGCAGTTTTCAATCTCAATCTTTTTAACTTCACACAATGATTGTACAAATATTTAAGTTGTCCACTTGGTACTATGGAATTGTTTGATAATTTTTTTCCTTTCTTGGGAACTAAGTAATTTTTCATCAAAGGTAAAATAAATAGTTTTTAACCCATATCTTTTGGAATTCACAGAGAGTTTGCAAATCTATAGAGGCTTTTACAAATTTTGGGACTATACATGACTACTATGTACATGAGTAGTAAACCTTGAAAATGAGATATTTTTGATTAATCTATGCTTCAAAATATTTAAAAAATGTTGATTTATATGTGTTTATTATACTATTACTACACTGTACTTTATTTCTTACATTAATTGTATAAGTATTTTCATATCAGATGTGTGGTAACTTATATAAAAGCTATTATCTAGAGCTCTGTAAATAAAAAAAAATGTAAACATAGTTCTAAAATATACTTTTAATGAGTGGAAGAAATTGTGGGGTACATTTCGTAAATTATCAAAATACAAGTTACCTGTTTTAAAGCATGTCTGGTATTTTTACAGTACTTTTTAAATGAATTTAATAAATTATTTGTATTTTAAATTGAGAATTTCTTCAGTTTCCATGATTGGAAAAATAATGTGAGATGCCTTGGAACATTCTGGTGACTATTGTACATTTTATAATGTACAATGGAAAGGACATTTCATTACTTAGATAAAATGGATTCAGTGGACTGATTAGCATAAAAAACTATGATGGAAAACCTTTGAAAGCAGCCAGGATAGCAGCTCCAAGGAAGATGGTCAAATAAATCTTCAACCAAGTCTGAGGCTTTACCAAGAAATTAAGAAGGCAAGTTTATTTAAGCCAAATATTTGTATACATTTTCTAGAAATATTCGACAAGAAGTGCATTATTAAGACAACACGCCAGCACCCTTCTGATCTTCTGCATGCAAAACACTATTGATGTATTAATTTTAATAAGTTTTATAATTTAAGTTACCATTTTCTTGAACAAGATTTTCAATCAAAATGTTTGAAAACTTCAAGGGGAGACAAGTACAATTAACAGCAAGATTTGTTCTTTCAATGGGATATGACTGATAAATTTGCACATCACTTTTGTGCAGTTAAATTCCAAACAAAAACCTTTGACTTGTTTTATTTTTATTATGTCAAGTTTTCTGTTTAGTCAGGTTAATAGTTACTCCTTGCTATAGATCAATGACATTTTGTATTTATTTGCATTACTAACAAATTATCGAATTAATTAGCAATGTTGCTAATCATCAGATGTTTTTCATTTTCCGCTGCTAGGCGAGACATCTCTGTCAACAGTTTATCTTACAAACTTGTGTTGATACTATTGTGTACATTTTGTAAGAAATCAGAACATTATATAGTGACTTCATATTTATAGAGAAATAGATTTGTAAAATATATAATTTTTAGGTTCTTCTGTGATATGTTTTCATGGTGTGGGAATAAGACTTGGTGGTCTAATACAGCTAATACGAAGGTATGTACCAGTATGTTAGTCCTGTTTTGAAAAAAGAAAAAGTATTGTAAAATGTATTTGGAAATAGCATGTGCTCTAAGCGTGAAGGTTTGTAGGAGTTTGGTAAGAAGTCTTTGCTTTGTTAATTGCCTTTAAAGGAGTAAATTTAATTATCTGCTTTGATTATGTGAAAGTTTGTTGGGATGCTGGTTTGCTTTTCTCAACTTCTATTACATATTTATAGACTTTTATTTAATTTGCCACTGGACATTTAGCAACCAACAATCAAATGAATCAATCATTCAAAATATGGAATATACATACAGTATATCAAAAATGATCCTTTTAAACAATCTTGAATGACTAATCATTTTATTTTTCAGGTTAGCATCACAGCTTGTCTGTAAAGATTGAAGCTGGGAGTGGGCATTAGAGCTGACTTTTATGGTAAGAACCAATACAAAAAAAACAATATGTAAAAAAAGAAATATGTTAGACATCTACCATTGACTTGTTTTTCATCCTTTTCTGCTAATAAAGACTGGTAGTTCAAAAAATATATCAGCAAATCACTTTTAAACAAAGTAAGAGAAAGGTTTTATGAATCATGATTATAATGACCAGTTATTTATTATTTTGCATTTGATATTGTTTCAATTTTCAGATTTTGACAATTACGTTTAATTCTGTATATTTCTTTTTCAGGTAACTGTGGCTGCATAAAAGGGCTTTGTGATTTTACTGTAACAGTAAAGAATGTAATTCAGACTATTTTTGTGTATGTTTGAGAAAATGTTTATAATTTTTACAAAAAGAAAAAAAAATTATGTACAGGTTCTCCATTTTCAACAAGATTGGAAGTTGTAGTAGGTTAATAGGTCTTTGAAATTTCAAAAATTACTTTCTATTTTCTGTTCATACTCATGTCTAGACAAAACACTTCCAGTAGTTTAAGAATGGAGAATCTAAAAAAAAAAGAAGAAAAGAAAAAAAAAGAAAAAGAAAAAAATGTTCAATTATTGAAATGTTTTTTATTTTTGCAAATTGTAATATATTTTTTCACCTTTGTGTCATTTTTAGCTGAGTTTATAACAAAGGGTATATTATTTTAAGAATATTTTACAAGAAGCATAGTTGAAGAATATCTTGATGAAAGTAGATTGATTGATTTTTGGTATTTAACACCACTTTCAGCATGATTTGCTATATCTTGGCTGCTAGTTTTTATTTGTGGAGACAGCCTGGTGAAAACATCCCCTTCAACAGAGAAACTGGCAACTCTAGTCGATTAAGATTGACGTTAAACACACATACAATGTGAGGGTTCAGAGTGTTGACAGGCTAGTGATACAGTAGTTGAACTACTTTGACCATTCAGCCACCATTTATAACTCCATCCCACTAAATATGTTATTGAAATGTGTTGAATTTTTGTAATTTTAATTATTTTTTTATTTTGAATACCAGTATACTATTTATGTTTTTTTGTTATATATAACAAAGATGTGGAGTTCTAACGGTGAAATTTAGGTCAAAGGGAGGTAATTTATTATACTGTGTTTAACTTTAAATACTTGAAATTCCCTCAATGTTGGATTTTTATTTACTTGGATACTCACATTTATGCACTTTTTTACATATCAGATGTTTTCTAGATAATAGAAATTTAGGGTGGGAAAAATTATGTGTCACTTAAAATAATTACGTGAAATTTTTCAAAAAGTTTATTAATTGAAAGTGCATCTGATATTTTTTATGTATGTTACTTTATTTTCTAAAAACAAATGGACACAACATAGAATGACAATAAGACATTGAGAAGAACCACCTTGTCAGCCAGGATAGCAGCTCTTAGGAAGATGGTCAATTAAATCTTCAACCAAGTCTGACTCTTTACCATGAAAATAGAAAAGGCAAGTTTATTTTAGCCAGATCTTTTAAGATAACAGACCCTTCTGAAATATTTCATTTAAAACGTCCATTGATGAATTAATTTACCAGTTTAGTATTTAAAGATACAAGATACATGAACAAGATTTTCTATTAAAATATCAATAGTAAATCCTAAAAATAGCCATTAAACTTCAAGAAAAGATCAGTACAATTTAAGACACGATTTTGCATTCAATGGGAGATAACTTTGTAAAATATTCAGATATTTTTTGTGCAGTTAAATTTAAATCTGTATGTTTTTTTTTACTTTTCTATCTTTTATATTGATTTAAAAAAAAAACATTTTATACAATTGTCTACCTGCAATAAGAAATCAGAACAATATTTAGTAAATTTTAGGTTATCGGTAACACATCAATTGATTTACAAAATGTATAATGTGTTGATTATAATTTCATTTCAGGTTCTTTCTGAGACATGTTTTCATGGTGTGGGAGTAAGACTTGGTGGTCTTATACAGCTAATACAAAGGTATGTGTACCAGTATGTTAGTCCTGTTTTGGAAAACTCAAATGTATTATAAATATTTTATGGAAAAACAAGATTTGAAAGCTTAAAAGATTTTTTACAGGAATCTACTCTTATTATTATATCAGTAACCAAATAAGAGTAAAGTTTAGGATCTGAATTGTTTACATAAAAATGTGTTGGCTTGTTGGATTGCTGTCTCATCCATATGTTCTTGACATATATAACACATTTTAAGACTATTTCTATTTAATGATTTGCCACTGGACCTTAAGCAACCAACAACCAATCATTCAATCTATTCAATATACATACATAATAAACACAGAGCCTTTTAAACAGTTTTTATACTCCCATTTACGGGACGTACTATGGTATACCGTTGTCCGTCCGTCCCTCGTCAACATGTCGGACATTAACTCAAAAACGCTTTAACCAATTTGCATAAAACTTTATTGAATTGTTTATATCTATTGACGTGAGCTGCCTTTCGTTTTTTATAAATTTTAGATTTTACGTTTCCGAGTTATGCGGTTTTATTCATTAAAAAAAGGGGGTTTTTCCAGTTTTCGAACAATAACTCAAGAATGCTTTCACCAACTTGCAAGAAATTGTTGTGAATTTTTTATATCTATTGACATGAGCTCCCTTTCAATTTTTATAAATTTTAGATTTTACGTTTCCGAGTTGCAGGGTTTTATTAATGAATTATCATTTTATATTTCAGGTTAGCATCACAGCTTGTCTGTAAGGATTGAAGCTGGGAGTGGGCATTGGAGCTGACTTTTATGGTAAGAATCAATACATAGATTTATGAACTTTTCATCCGAGAGCATTTTAAAGCCCAAGATTTTTGTTAGGCACAGATGAAAATCTTACATATTAATGTCTTCTTTACTTATAGTTGAATAAACAATTTAGAAGGAGATATAAAGATATATAAGGGAAGTCAAAAAGTATAATGTATAATGCGAAATCTTGGGATTTCAGTTTTTTTGTTATCTATAATTGTCCCCATATATGAAAATATGTAAGTGTGGTATGTATACCAATGAGACAGCTATCAACCAGAGACCAAATGATGTGGATGCAACTTAATGTCACCCTATGCCTTCAACATGACTAAATGTTAAAAAATTCAATCAAGTATGTTAATAGCCTGATATACTATATATAGCTATAAAATTATGTTATAAAGATATTTGTCAAGACATCAGCCATTGTCATTGACTTGTTTTTCATCCTTTTATTGCTAAGAAATACTGGTACTTTAAAATTTATGTCAACAAATCACTTTATAACAAAGAAAAAGAAATGTTCTATACATTATAATTGTAATGCTCAGTTAATTATAATTGTTTTGCATTAAATATTATTTCTATGTTCATGAGTAATATCAAGGAATTGTATATTTAGAAGGAATGGAAACGCGGCCGACTTCAAAGAAAATTGTATGATACATCTCTGACTTGGGTTGTGTGTTAATTACATCCCGTCGCTCTAACTGGCTCATTACTTATCTGGCAGTAGTTATCGAACTTGGTCATTTAATCATGAAATGAAACAAGGAATATTGTCTATTTAGATATACAATTCCTTAAATGAAATAAACAAAAAATACAACCTTAAACGAAGTTAGTTCTGAAAAACATTTATTTCTTGTACCTCCTCTTGATATTTCACGAAGGTATGCAACAATTAAGATCAATTAATAGATGAAATCTGACATTATACGAGTTTTTAAAAAGATTTAAGGTAATGCAAAAAGTTAAAAAATTAATTTTCAATTTTGGAATATGACTGGTATAGAAAAGTATAAAGGAAGAAGTACATGAACAGATGTAGTATTTTGTCTAGATAAAAGAACTAAGATAATAGGTGTTATAATAAACACCGATATGGGATATCCAATTTGCAGGTATAATCTATCATGTATCATTGATAAGCAAATTTTTGTCGTATATATATTTAAGCAGGAACAGTGTACATACTAACTATAGGCTGTCCCTGATTTAAGGTGTCAAAAAGAAATCACGCCGAGCTCACCTGTTAATAAATGCTAAATTATGCCGTGGTGCAATAATTTTTTTAATTAGAAACAGTTAAAACTTTCCGACATTCGCATATTATTTATTTTAACACCGAAGGAATATTTTGCGACCTCTAGACTACTGCTCTTCTAGAAAAAAGGAAGTCTTATATACATTTCTTGCCTGTAATTTCCGACAGAATAATGAAATTCAAAACTGAAATTTCGAAAAATTGTAGAAAATTCAGTAATTTTACCAGAAACTTAAAAAAAGGTCAAAATAATAGAATAAGATTTCAGCTTCATAATGATATCAACTGTTTTGTTTTGCACTTTGTAGTTGTCGAGCTTTTAGAAAAAAACCAAAACACAGTATTTCTTGTTTTGTAATCCGGATGAAACTCGCTCAACTTTCAAGACCAAGGTCTATTTTAATGAGAATTTACATAATACAATACTACAAACGTATGTTTGATGAGGCATTAAAATGATACCTTAAAGGCCTTACCTTTTTCATGGAATAAAAGTTTATTCTTGATTTTGGGTTTCTCTCTCCTTTATATCTTCTCAAGCAAGATGACCCCGTGAATTAAAAGACCGATCTATATGACAGGAAATGGACCTCCGTCATGATTCTGTATGATTCTTTATATTATCATCATACTTCCGATTGAGACAGACATGGATTATAGCTCTGCGGGTATCCCGATTGATCTCGAGCCTCGTTTCCATTCCTTTTAAATATACAATTCCTTGGTAATATATATTTCTTTTTCAGATAACTGTGGCTGCATAAAATGGTTGTGTTATATAACTGCAACAGTAAAGAATGTAATTCAGACTATTTTTGTGTATACTTGAGAAAATGTTTAATTTTTTTACAGAAAAAAAAAAAAATATGTAAAGATTCTCCCATTTTCAACAAGATTGGAAGTTGTAGGTTAACTTGTATTTGACATTACAAAAATTCTTTCTATTTTCCGTTTATACTCATGTCTAGTCAAAACACTTCCAGCAGGTTAAGAATGGATAATCTAAAAGAAAAAGAAAGAAAAAATTTTAAAAAATGTTCAATTATTGAAATGTATTTTTTTTTTGCAAATTGTAATGTATATATTTTTGCCATCTTTTTGTTATTTTAGGATTTGAGATACTTTCAAATTTTACAAGTTACTTTATACATGTAGTTAATGCAATTAAATCTGCCGATGTGAATATTCCCACTAAATTTCTTATCAAAAATTTTAATTATTTTTGTTTTTTTTAGCAACGTTTCAAAATACCTTACCATAGCAAATGCCTAGTGTAAACTAAAAAGATGAATAATGGTCAGCAGTAAATATATCCCCTTACAACCTTTTCTTTCATGTTAATTTTAATATCTTTAAGATATTTGACAAGGGTGCTCTAATGCAGAAGAATTTACGAAGTTAAGAAGTTAGAAATATATTTTTTGCACTTTTTTTGTCATTTTTAGCTGATTTTGGTTTGTAACCAAGGTGATAATTTTTAAAGAATAATTTTACAAAAGGCATAGTTGAAGAACATCTTGTTGAAATTGGATTGGTTGATTTTTGGTGTTAAACACCACTTTAACATGATTTACTATAATTTTGGCTGTAAATTTTTATTTGTGGAGACAGCCAGAGTGCCTGGTGAAAACATCACCTTCATCAGGGAAACGGGCAAACCCTAGTCAAATTAAGAATGAAGTTACACATTTCATGTGAGGGTTCTCAGTGTTGACAGGCTAGTGATACAGTAGTTGAACTACTTATAGGACCACTCTGCCACCATAAGTCGATCAGTACGAAATATTTTATTGAAATGTGTTAGATTTTTGTTATCAATCTATTTTTTAATTTGAATTGTACTGTTTTATTTATTTTGTTTAATATAACAAGGATGTGGAGTCCGAACAGGGTGAAATTTGGGTCAAAGGGAGGCAATTTATTATAACCCTGTTTAACTCCACATACTTGAAATTCCCTCAATGTTAGGATTTTCATCTACTTGGATATTCATGTTTGTAGTTTTTTTTTTTAATATCAGATGTATACTAGCTAATATTGGCTATTATTTAGAGATCTGTAATAAAAAAAAATAAATGTAAGCAGAGCTCTAGATAATAAGTATGCAGGGTGGGAGAAATCTTGGGTCATTAACAATTGATTTGCTGAAATTTTCAAGAAAGGGGATTTATTGGAAATGCATCTGATATATTTAATGTATAAAACTATATTTAAAAAAAAAAGATGTTAAGATGATGAGGTGAGCCACCTTGTCAGCCGGGAGAGCAGCTCTAAGGGAGATGGTCAATTTAATCTCCACCAAGTCTGAGGCTTTACCATGAAAAATATGTGGTAAGTTTATATGTTCCGCAAGTTTTATGGTAATAATATATATATAGGCATTTAACATCATTTTTTAAGGGTTCTTTTCTATCAGTGTTTGATTTTTAGAGTATCTAGTCTTACATTTGTTTTCTGTCTGGTATCGAGTGAGCTGTGTTGGAAAGAAACCAACTGTATGCAAGTTATTATCAATGAATTTGTAAACTTATTTAGGTCGAACAAATTTTTATGCGAAGTCTGTAACTGTTTGAATATTGAATTGATATAGAATGATTTTCATAAAAGCGTGGACAAGACGATTTCTTGGCACTCTTATGTTATCTATTGACTGGGTCGGATAAGGTGAAAGTTTGTCTAAGCCCACTTGTCACATTGAATGTGTTATAGACATTTAAACTGGGGTCGCCAAAGGTTCTATTATGCCTACATCAAATAGTACGAATTACTAGCAGAGGACTAAACCTTGTGTGTTGATTTAAATGTTGAATAATTATTTTCTTTTTTCTTCTCTTGTGCCTACATGTACTTTGCTCTTTTATTCTATTTAAATCCCTATTGGAAGGCCTCTGACAGACTGAGTGAGCGTAAAATCACTGTTATCGATAGCCAATGACAAACAAGTTAAAGGTACTGTAAAATTCAGAAATTATTGCGTGCAATTATTAATAAATTTGGCGTATTTACTGTCTTCTGATTGGTTAAAAGTATTACTTTTATTTTCAATGTTGTCAATTTTTATGGCGACATGCCCACTCTGACATTGTATATTCATACGCCAACATTCGTGTACATTATGGTAAAAATAAATAAAATAAAAAGTTCTTTGAGCCTTATTTTTGATAGAAATTTATTTATAATGAATGGCTATAATTTATTTTGAATTTATTGAACCATAAAATTAATTTTATGGTTCAATAAATTCAAAATAAATAATAACCATTCATTAATTGCGATTTTGTAATTTTAGACTAAAATGCGATTTTAATTTTTGCGATATTGAGAAAAATCCTGTTTAATTCATATAAAAAATTTCAAAATGCTAGTTTAAATTATTGCCAATACAACCATGTTGCATTTTTCGCAATAATAAAAACATTGCAATAGTTTCTGAATTTACAGTATTACCAACATAAGTATTGGGGTTGTCTACCCTGTTATGAAAATGATATTAAGAACCATCAAAAGAGAACAAAACCATCCGATTTTGTAATTGAATATTCCAAAATCATTGTCTTATACATATACATGCACTTGCACAAGGTCAATTTCTTATCTCTTAGCAGTTTTAAAGTTTATATAGTGAAGATGATAATGTATAACAGGTTTTATTAAATGAAACATAGCATTATTTTGTTAGTCTTCTTAGAGACAGATTGATCTGTAAAACAAGTAATTATTTTTTTATTTTTTTTATTTTTAGGTTGTTATAATGATGATGTTTTCATGGTGTTGGGAGTAAGACTTGGATGTCTGATATTGTTAACATCTTGGTAGGTAATCAAGCATCTTTTTAGTAATATAATATTTGAAATCAATTTCATAAGGTTCTTTAGTACCAAAAAAAAAATTTTACACTGGTGAGATACCGGTTGAATTTTTTTGGTAAATATAAAACGAGTTTATAATTCAGAATACCAAATATTTTTTCCATGATTTTTTGTTATCCTAGTGCAATTTTAAATTTAGTACATGTGTAATAATTTTTTTTAGGAAAGTTTAGTATAGCTGACTACTTTTATATTCCAGCTTAGCATCAGGTTTCCATTGGGTTACTTGCTGGGATAAAGCTGTTATAAGGTGAGAACTTATTCATCAACATACAACTTTAATGTGTTTATGTTATAGTTTGATGAATGTCACTAAATAGATTTCAATATATATATTTTTCTTTAATTTACAATTAAAAAAAAATCAGTATTCAATCTTTTCATTTTAGAATAATGTATCCTTTAAAGCAGATACTAGATCTGAAGAAGATATATGAAGGGGAGATAACAATAAAATCTGATATTTTTGATACTATATATTTTTGAGTAATCAATATAAGCAATAAACAAATTGTTTAACATACACTGGTGTCTGTTTCTTTATTCCCGTTAGATTATTTTAAAATTAAGGATCAACAATTGAAATTTAACTTTGTTTCTTTTTCAGTCGAAAGAGTTGCTGTTGCTGCCTTCCTTGTATGGTAAAATCCTCAGACTACAATCCTGCAATCCATTGGATGAACTGTTGCTATCTTTTGTAAAAAAAATCAGCAGATATTTGTCTTATAAGCAGAATGAATTATAAATGCAATTAATTTTTAATGCTTTATTATTCAAATTGTAAATATTAATTTCATTGTTTTTTCTTGCATTCAATTATTGTTTTGTGATTGAAGAAATATAAAAAAAACTGTGAAATTATTGTTATTTGAGAGGTCCCAAAGGTATGATGTATGGTTTCACAAGATACCCATAAGACTTGCTTCAGTTTACCGGTACATATATTTTTTAAGTTATGTACACTGGTTAAGAATTATAAGTCCTTTGTGAAATGTTTTTTTCTGGTTAGAAACCTATTAAGTAGGACTTTGATGGCCATACACTAAAAGGGAATAAAACAAATCCCCTATTAAACAATTTAAGTACTGAGTTTTTGGTGCAATATGAACTAGAAATAAAAACGTTTAGTTAGGTGGTTTGTTTTGACTCTGCATTCTTTACATTCATACAAATTAATGGCTGTCAGTTTTATTTATTGGTTTTGTTTATATATTATAAATGCATTATTCAGCATCTGAGACCACTCAAGTGAAAATAATTACATAGTTTTTGCAGTTTGTCATATTTTCTCATTTTTGTGTGATTGATTTCTATATTTTTTCTCAATTTATGATTATTTATATTTTAATGTTTGATTTTTGAGGCTTGTAATCAGCTTCTAAACAATTACCTCCCCGCTCCACATGTATAACCAGGATCCTGTAAAAGAAGTTTTGATTTTGAAGGATGGATGGATAATTAAAAATGCAAGATTTTTTTAATGTGCTAGTTCATAATGTAAAAGTCTGCACAAGACATCTAACCCTACCTGAACACATTATTCTGACTTCCAGCAGACCAGTCTTTGCTCCTACTCCTAATTGCTGAATGCTTAGCAGGGGAGCATCAAATACCGATTTTCAATTCTTTGATATGACCCAGGGCAGGACCAAATCCCATGCCCATCTGCACTCATGTTGAGCATAAAAAGGTTATTAAAGAAGATTTGTCTAGTATCTGTTTGTCCATCATCATCTCTCATCCACAGCTTATAAACTATATATATTGGAAGGTTTTCATTTAAACTTTCAGATTATCTTCTGTATCTAATGGCTGTGTTTATTTTATTTTATTATAATGAAATTTTGGGGTTCTCAATTGTAATGTATGGACCTCCTAAGTATTTGAAAAAAAAGGAAAAAGCTTCTCATACCACCATTT